CGCCAGCGCAGCACGATGGGGCCGCCGTCCGGCGGGCCGCGGAGCCGCCCCCGACCGCCGCGCCTCTGTCCTTGTCCGCTGCAGGCGCCGGCCTCGGCCTGGCTGCGCCCCTGCGGCCCTACGGGAACGACGCCGCCCTGGAGCGCCTCCTCGGGACCTGCACGGAGGGAGGCCGCGGCCTGCTCGGCCAGCACCCGCCGCCGCTCCGCGCCTCCGCAGGTGGGCCTGGGCTCTTGGGTGGCCCGCAGACGGCGGGCGGGCGGGGAAGCCCTGCGACCCCGGCGATCCTGCTGCCCGGGAGAAATGGCCTCCCCGCCGCCCGCCGGGACGGTGCCGCTTCCTGGGCGACGGCACTCGCTGCCCACGGATCGGGGCCGGGCGGGGGGCGAAGTGGTGCTCTGCTCCTCTCCCTGGATGCCCCCAGGCTGACACGCAGGGCTGTAAAGACGTCGTGGAGGATGAGATATTTTATTTATTTAGGAAATTTCTATGCCGCCCCATTCGCCAAAGCCTCGGGGCGGCTCGCAAATCAATCAATTAAAATGCTCTAAATTAACAATATAAAACAAGTTAACAATGTAAAATAAGTCGCCCTGGCCAAAGAATAAAATAGCACCAGTCAAGCGCATAATGTCACTTTCTTGCTTCTCTACCCTTTCCTTCTGCTTGGCTTTCGAAGGACATTTGTTCTGCCAACCGGTCTGAGAAAGTCTTGCATTAGAGCACCGCAGCTCTAGTTGTGTCCTTGTGTATCCTTTCCTGAGATTCCGGTGACACCTCTTGTATCCTTTCTGTAGCCGAACAAGAGAATTTGCTGCAGCAACAACCCGATCAACCGGACAACCCCAAGATCTTAAAGGTTGCCATTATCGGAGCCCCAAATGCTGGCAAATCAACCCTGACAAACCAGCTCCTGGGACGGAAGGTAATGGGGTGGATTTGCCCTTCCCGGGGGCGGAGTAGATCCCCACGGGAGATTTCTGTGCTTCCTCGCAATTGAGACTGTCTGGCTCATTTCCTTGCCAGGTGCTGCCGGTCTCCAAGAAGGTGCACACGACGAGGTGTAATGCCCAGGGCATCATCACGAAGGAGGACACACAGCTGGTGAGTGTTAAGGGGACTGAGCCAACCGCTCTCCCCACACAGAACTGGTTGGACTCTCCTTGTGGAGCGCGTGACCAGCGCCTGGTCACTGTGGTGGCCATCCTTGGGTTTTTTCTCGCTAGCCCCTGGCATTTGCCGGTCGACCCCTTCTGCTGGCCTGTTGTAGCTTAATGGCTGCTAAGAGACCGATAATGTACTAATTTGCCCGAGCTGCTTTGAGCGCCAGTTTCTGCTCGTGGTTGACAGTGATCCACACGCGGACGCTCTCCCTAGTCTGGTGGCCTCCTGCTGTGCTGGATCGCAGCTCACATCATCCCCAGGCAGAATGGCCACTGGGGATGTGGCCGTTGCGCGCCAACACACCTGGGAGGCGCAAGTGTAGAAAAAACCGATCGGTGTCTTCCCAGCAGAATCTCCAGAAGTGTTTTGCCACTGCTTTGTAACAGGATCTCTGTTTTCTGTTGAGTCCGGAAACAAAAAATATTGGGGGTTGACTCAATTTATGCAGACAGCTCTTCTGAGACCCTCCCCTTTTTCAGCACTGAACTTTTGCACATTTTAAATATTTGTACCGTCCATTCTCTCTCCAGATCATCTTGGATACTCCTGGCCTCACCACACCTCATAAAGCGAAAAGGTATTTTAAAAAACAAGCTAACTTTGCTTGGGAGAGTGCGGAGGAGGGGAAAGCAAACAGGCCCTGTGGCTCATGCATCCTCTTTCAGGCATAACTTGGAGAAATCGATGCTACACGATCCCTGGAAGAGCCTGGAGGCAGCAGACTTGGGTGAGGGCCTCTTGCCTGCCTTTTTCTCCCCAACCCCCAGCGGTGCCATGCCTCGAACGTTCTGGAACGGTCAGGCTGCGGGGTGAACCCGCCTGTGCTCCCGTTATGGGCAGTTTGCTTCGTTGCATGTGACCCCGTGGCCCCAGCTGACCCTGTGATTCTCTTTCCCGGTGCTGAAGTGCTTGTCCTTGTGGACGCGTCGGATCGCTACACCCGGCACCAGCTGGCCCCGCAGGTCCTCAGGTGCCTCACCTCCTTCCCGCAGGTTCCCAGCATCCTTATCCTCAACAAGGTGAGCGTGCGCTCCAGCCATTGCCCAGGAGCAGAAAGCCTTCCGGGTGCCTCCAAGTTCTGGGCTGCCCCTCTCATTAGATGGGGGCAAAGCTGCCTTCGGACGGTTCTCTCCGGGGTGGGAAGGCCTGAAGGCCGAACTCCAGCTTGGAGAAACACTTGCGGGCGGCACTGCACTGCACTGCGCAGCGGGCCAGAAGCCACGGGCACGGGGCCAAGGCAGCCGATGCATCGGCGCATTTCTGCTTGTGAGTCTGACCATTGGGGAGGGGCGGGGAGAACCGCAGCCAGTCCCGGGCAGCCCCAGGCAGCGGCTCTGTTGCCTGACCGCGCGTGCCCCGGGCCGGCCTCGCGGGGAAGAGGCTTCCTGGCGCGGCGCGGCCGCTTGCGCAGGACCGGTGCCGAGTTCCCCTCTGCTGCTCCGTGCAGGTGGATCTGCTGAAGAGGAAGGCTCTCCTCTTGGACATGGTGGTGCAGCTCACTCAGGGGACGGTTGGTGGGAAGACGCTGACCATCCAGTCAGTGCTCGGGCCGGACGCCTCTGCCCCCAGCGAGAGGAGCGTGCAGAGGCAGGCGAAGGCGGCCAAGGCCGGCTGGCCCCACTTCGAGGAGATCTTCATGCTGGCCGCCATCAGCCGCGAGGAGGTGGAGCTTCTCCAGGTGAGCAGGCGGAAGCGCCGCCGAAGGCTCCGTCCTCTGCGTCTCCCCGGCGAAACGGGGAGCAGTGAGCGGGGAGTGGCAGAGCCCCAGACGTGCCTCCCTGGCGGCTGGCGGCCCCTTCCAGGGGGCGGGATTCGGCACAGGCCGTGCCTTCTGCTCCCGAACGGAATCCCTGGGGGCAGAGGACGGCCGCTCCCTGTGGCGAGGCAGGGATGCCTGTGCCCCCGTTCACCCCACCCCACCCCACCCCTCCCTGCACGTGCGGGGGGAGCGCAGTGGCCGGCCCCACTCACCGCGGCCCCTGCCATCCCGCCCGCAGAAGTGCCTCCTCAGCCGGGCCAAGCCAGGCCCCTGGGAGTTCCACAGTGAGGTCCTGACCAGCCAGTCCCCGCAGGAGGTCTGTGACAACATCATCCGGGAGAAGCTCCTCGAGTACCTGCCCGAGGAGGTGCCGTATACGGTGAAGCAGGTGAGCCAGGTTGGGTCTCCCCCCCCCCCCCCCCTGGCCTGGCTGCAGGGAGCCGCTCTGGGGATCCCCGGGCTGGATTCCTGCAACGGCCTCTACATGCGGCTGCCCGCGAAGTCGCTCCGAAGCCGCGGCTGGCGCAGGCCCTGGCCCGCCTGGGACCATGGGGCCGCTTGGAGCGCCTCTCCTGCCCCGGCCCAGCCAGGCTTCCCCTCCGGGGCCGCTTCCGGGCGCCAATTCCTCGTGAGCCTGGGCGAGGGCAGCCTGCGGGAGGGCTTTTTCCGGGGTGGCCCCATCTCGGCAACGAGCTCCCCACTGCCGCCCGCCTGCCTGCCTGCCACCAAGCCTGCCATCTTTCCGGCACTAGGTTAAGACGGCCCTCTTTGTGCGGGCCGTTAACGATCTCCCAGGTCCCCCAGGAGCCCGAGGGGCTTATCCAGGTGCCTTCCGTCCTTTCTCCTTGGTTGGGTCTTTTCATTGTATCTCGGTGTATTTGAATTATTTTTGCATGTTCCAAATGCTGTGTTATGTATTGTATTTTATTGTTTGTATAGCCTGTTGGGAGCCATCCAGAGGGTTTTGGCTGTGGGAGGCAGAGAAACGTAATGCATAAAAGCAATTTATTTGTCCTTGGGTGCGAAGGTTTCGCAGTCAGTAAAGCTGCCGGGCGCTGCCTGTCTCGCCCGACCGCGAGGGGCACGCGACTGCATCCAGCAGCCTGGTGCGCTGCGGCACTCGCACTCCCGTTTCTCTTGCAGAGGACAGAGGCCTGGGGGGAGGGCCCCTGTGGGGAGCTGGTCATCCTGCAGAACTTGCTGGTCCAAAAGGAGACCCACATGGTGAGTGTCTCGCTCGGGAGCCCACCCCCACAAGCACCTCAAGCACCGTTCACGTTTCCGCAAAATTGCGCCCTGCCGGATGCGGCACGGCGTGGCACTGAACCGAAGCAGCGTTGTGAAGCCCGCCGTACAGCAGAGTACCGCTCTGTTTTTTGCCTTTCGATGCGCGTGGTTCCTTCGGGAAAAGCAACCCCTTCCTGTGGGGCAGAGCACACGCATCCGGGGTATGGGACCCTGGGCTCGCTCCTTCAGGCCTCTGCATTGCCCAGATCCCACGTCTGCGCCAGCGAGCTGCCTTCCGTGCCACCGCCCCACGGAGATGTCCCGGGTGCGTGGCAGGCTCGGCCCTCGGTGACCCTTCTTTTCTTGCTGCCCCACGCAGAAGATGCTGATCGGCCCCCAAGGCCGGATGGTCAACCAGATCGCCCAGGAGGCCGGCCAGGACCTGATGAACGCCTTCCTATGCGATGTGCGCCTGAAGCTCTCCGTGCAGCTGAGCAAGAAGTGAGCTCCCCGCGGGCCGGGGCGGCCGAGGGCCTTGGCCCAAAGGACTCTGGGACTGCCGGGCGCTCGGCCCGGCCCTTGGCCGCCCCAAAGAGGGCAGGAGCCCCGTGAGCGGGGCGGCCTCAGTGAGTGGCTGGCTTGCCCGTCTCTGCCCCCGGGACGAGCGCATCGGGCAGAGACCGTCCGCAGGGCCGCTGGGCGTCAGTGAGGGACTCGGACGAGGCCGGGGCCCCGTCCTGCCGGACGGACGGGGGGAGCCTGGCCCATTTCCTCGCTCTTCTGCCAGCACAGTTGCCGGGTCGCGTGGCGCGGCCCCTGGGTGCGGTGTGCAGGTCTGGCAGCCGGCCTCGCCAGTCCGATTCCCCCACCTCCTCCAGTTTGGTGTCCCCCTGGGCTCTGCTGGGGGACGGACGAGGGGGTGGCTTGAAGCCCCGCTGCCTTTAGGGCTTCTCTGGAGCAGAGGATGCCCGTGCAAGATGGTGGCCGCAGAGACCCTGACCCGGCTTCCCCCAGCGTCTCTCTGCTCGGTCCTGATTGTGGGCTTTATTAAGGGAGTGGGCGCTTTGCCATGCCCCGCCCCGTGGGTTCACTGTGTGGGGTTGCGATGCGGTGCCGCAAATCTCGGAAGCCCCCTCGTGCGGGAGCAGCCGCTAAGCTTTGTCTGAGGGTGCCGGCTGCCGGCTCGCCCCTGGCCCACGTCCTCCCAGCGGGACGCGCTCTGGGCTCTCCAAAGGGAGCGTCCTGTGATAAAACGCGGTCGCGCCCCTCTCCTCCAGCCGCAGTTTGCCACCCGGGGAGGCGGCCTGCCCCCCTCCCCGTGCTTAGAGGACGGCCGGATGGCGCTGAGCCCCACCGGGAAGGCACTGGGCACGGGGGCAGCCCTCCAAAGAGGCCTTTCCAGCCGGACTGCAGGCGCCGTGTCTCGCTGGGGTCCGTGGCGGCCCCACTGTGTGCAGCCGTCTCCCACCTCCCCCAAAGAATAAAGAGTTCCTATGAACGGATTGTCTCTTGGAGTCGGGCGAGACTGCCCCGGGGGGGGGGGGGGGGAGGCTCTTGGGGTCCCTTGGGCTGGTGCTGGCTGGGCCGGCCGGCCCCGAGGGGAATCTCCTGGGGGCAGGGCCCTGGGGGCAGCAGGGCTCCCGGGGCGGGCGCCGCAATTTGGGCCTGCTCTCCACAGAGCTGCCCGGCTAGTTTGGGGCACGGAGCAGCTTCCCCCGCCAGGCTGGGCTTGGGGGCCGCGGGCCTGGCTGCTCCCCAGCAGGATCCAGCCACGCGGTGAGGCCCCTTCCCCCCGAAGCGAGCTCCCGGGTGAGGAAAAGCCAGCTCCCGAAAGGTGCAGAGCGCCTTCGGCAGGCTCGCCACGTGCTTTGGGGCTTGTGAAGGCGCGGGCCCTTCTCCCCATCCGGGGGCCACGTGCAAGAGCTGGCCAGCCCGTCGCTGCCCCTTTCCTGCCTCTTCGAGGGGTGCGCTGCTTGCACGCAGGAAGGGGGCAGGAAGGGGGGGGGGCTCTGGAGCAGGTTCGACATACGTCTCCATGGTGGAGAAAGTTGACCCTTTGGAGGGGCTTCCGGACTCCCCTTCACCTGGCCTACCTGGCAGGTTTGTGGTGTGCCGGTGCTTTTCCTTTAAGGACTTGTGCAAAGTCTCGTCGTGTCCGGAGAAGCAACACACCGTGTCCCCAGGCCTGGTGTGTCCTCTTCGTGGATTTCTCTGGAATGACGTTCCCTGCCTCCACTTTCCCATCTGTTCCCCAATGCCTCCTGGGTTGGCCGCTTCACCTATGGCGATCCCCGGAAAAGCGTAGGCAAAGGCTGCCTTCACGGGACTGTTCGTGCTGCTCTTGCCAGGCAGGGCTCAAGGGCGACGTGCCTTGAACCCCGGCAAGGAGCGAAAACCCACAGAAGGGAGACGGGGAGCTGGGGGATCGGACGCCCCGGGTTCTAGCCTGTGCCCAGCCGTGCAGCCCAGAGACTCGGCCCAGCCTACCTTGCAGGGTCATCGTGGGGATACGACAGAGCAGCAAGAAGAGCCCGATGAGAGCTGCTCTGGGTCCTTTCAAAGCAAAAGGGCGGCTATAAATCCGAGAAGTAAACCGGAGTGAGCCAAGCGCAACCGGGCAAACGGCGTGGGAGCCTTCCGTGGGCACGGGCAGCGCCAGCCAGCCAGCCTCGCGAGGGGCGTCCCTTGTCCCGGGCGTCCCGCTGGCCCCTTCTGGAGCCGGGAGGGCTGGTCAGACCGGTTTCCAGGCCGAGGGCTTCCCTCCTCCAGGGACTGCCCTGGCTTTTCTTCAATGAGGGTTTTAATTTTAATTTTTGCTGGGTGAGGAGCGAGCCCCCGCCCCCCCGCTGAATGGTGGTCAATATGTGGATACCTTTTCGGCCTGCCGCGATTCCCGCAGCCAACCTCTAAGCCGGGGCTTCCAGAGGGGCTGGACTGCAATCCCCACTGCGTATGATGGGGAGGGTAGTCTCCCCGCCGGGGCGGGGGGGCTTAGCCGGTCCCAGCCTGGGCTCCCAAAAGGGCCCGGAGATGCGCTGCGCAGGCAAACGGCGCCCACCTCTTTACTGCCGCTTTAAGCCTGTAGGTGGGTCGAGGGCGCGGGGGGCGGGGGAGAAAGCGAGCGAGCAGCGCGCATGCGCACGCAGGCCTAGCTCGACCGGCATCTTTCTCATTGCGCGAGGCGAGCCAAGGCCGCGGAGAGAAGTCGAGATGGAGCGCCGCCGAGCCGCGCGACACTTCCGGTTCTCATTCGACGGCCGGGTGGGAAAACGAAACCCGAAATGAACACCCCGTGGGTCCGCCGCCCCGCTCTCCCCCGGACGCCTTCCCGCCCTCCGCTCTCCCGGACGCCCGAGCTTTCCCACCCCTCCCGACGCGCGCGCACGGGCTACGTCTTCCTGCTCCAGCGAGGGACCGGAAGTGTGTGCGCCCTTCTCCACGCGCGCCGACCTTCCCCTTGGGGGCCGGGTCGGGCCGGGCGTCGCGGCGCATGCGCACCGCGGGGGGAGCGGCCGAGCCGGCTCGGAGGGCGACGCGGAGCAGGAGCGGCGGCGGCGCCATGAGGGCCGGGCGGGGGC